ATAATCCATAAAGATACACTGTATTCAGAGTATGTCTTACCCTGACCTTGCCGACCTTGTGAGGACCGACCTTTAGGTCCTCAGATGGCTGGAGGGTCCCCACAGTGTGAGTGTCAGTGAGTATGTGTTGGTGTGTTTCCAGTCTTCCACAGTGGTCTGAATGGTCCCCGTGGTCGTACTGTAACGTCCTGTGTGGGGACGGAGTGATGCAGAGGAAGAGGACGTGTTTTGCTTTCGGCCTATCAGAGTGCGAGAACGCTGAGGACAAACTGCAGACGCAACCCTGCGCGGGCAGCTGCTGCGACGGTACGCACACACACACACCAATCACAGACATCAGTGGTTCCAAGCCTTTTCCTTAAGGGAGCCCTTATCTATCACTGAGTGTATTGACGAGCCCGGATAAACGGATAAACTGAACAATGAACCCAAACAGTTCCTGTGAATATTGATCAGAGATGAGTTCTCTGTCTGTATTATGTTTGTTTTTTTGGCTTCTTTTTGGACCAATTCGGTGTTTTCTTCTCCTTAATACTTCTAATACAGTTTGTGTTCAGGTCATCAAAGTTTAGATATTAAATAACATTAATAAGTTATTTTAACCCAGAAAAACTTTAAATGAATTTCAGTGAAAATTTAACACAAACAAATTTTTGTAAGTTAAAAACATTCTTCAATGTAAAACCAGATTAGTTAATTGAAACAGATTAACTAACTAATAACTGACAAACTTAATTTTGTCATTTTTATTTATTCTGTGAAAACAAAATTAATCAGTTATCAATCAATAAAATTGTGAGTAAAATCTGCTTCAAGAATCTTTTTTAACCTAAAAAATTTAGTTTGTGTCACTTAAAAATTCAGCTGTAATTAGTTTCAGGTTTTTTGAGTTAAATTAATTTAACAGGTTTTACAGTGTCAGTGTGTGTGTGTGTGTGTGTGTGTGTGTGTAGCTAAGGGGTGGGGCTTGTGGCTCAGCTGGTCAGCATGCTCGGTGTCCTGCGGAGAAGGCGGAGTCAGAAAGAGAACCAGAGTCTGCTCTGACCCTCCTGAGTGTCAGTCGGCCTGCGGCGGCTCTTCAGAGGAGACAGAGAGCTGTCCACCGCTCACCTGTCCAGGTAACCTGTCTGTGTGTCTGTGTGTCTGTCTCTCATCTGTCTGTCTGTCTGACTGTCTCTCTCTCTGTCCACCAGTTCATGGCGGTTGGTCGAGTTGGTCTGGTTGGTCTCAGTGTTCTGGGGCGTGTATCGATGACCAGCGTGGTGACGCCACCCCCCCCACCAGGAGGCGATATCGTTCCTGCTCTAACCCCGCCCCTTCTGGTGACACAGTGCCACCTGGCAACAGTTGCCCTGGAGACGAAGTCCAGGTCCAGGACTGCAGCGAACTCCCCAACTGTCCAGGTGAGACAGAATGAGCTGAGGAGATAAAGGTAAAGTCTTTAAAAGAAAAACCTTACATGTCCTCTGATTGGCTGTCTCTGCAGTGGACGGCAGCTGGGGGGCGTGGTCTCCGTCCGGGACATGCTCCGTCCCCTGTGGGGAGGGGCTTCAGCTGGCAGTCAGGAAGTGCAATCAACCCGCCCCTAAATATGGCGGCCGTTTCTGTGAGGGACAGAGCACCCGGACCAGCGTCTGTGAGAACACCTGTCCTGGTAACACACACTCACACACACACACACACAGCGGTCATGTCAGTGCAGTTTTAATGGAGTGGTCAATCAGAGAGAGTGAGAGCAGCCAGCCAAAGCAGCGAGGCAGCCTCTCTATTGAGTTAGAGCAGACATTAGCACCAGGCCTGTCTCTCGCCTTAGACTGTGTCTCCTGTCCGTGCGTCTCTAGCTGCTGTACAGCACAAAGGGGCCTGCGCTGTGGCCTCCGCTGCCCAATAGCAGCGACTGATCATAACCTAATTGGATTGATGTAACTTGTTTTCCAGCCCATTCAATCTAATTTGCCTGGAGCCAGCCGCACAGAAATAATTGTCAATATGATCCGCTCTTTTTGCTCTGTCTCTCTCCCTTTTCTGTGGATTATATGAGGAGGATGTGGGAGCAGGATTAGAGGCTGAGCTGCGCAGGAATGCACAGCACTCAGCAGGATGAGGAGATAGACAGCAGGTCTGAGGTGTGTAGAGGCAATTGAGTTTGAATTTAATTCAAGTTTCTAAGAGCTTTAGGAAGACAGAAAGATGTCTTATATTTGGTTTTTAAACTTTTATCAACACAGTTTGCAGGGCCTTTGCTAATACACCTTTCATACTGCATTCATGTACACTCAAGTATGATTAAAATAAGTGTGGGTCTTGTGAGGGGTAAGCTTTAGTATAATTATTACATTTATTATTAGCATTTTTTGTTTGATGTGTTATGTATTTTCTTCTATTTTTCATTGTTATTACCTGTTTTTTAATTTTTTAAAGGTGATGGTACATGTCTACAGGGGTGTTTTGGACGTAAGGGCTCGTGCGTGCTTCCCAGCATTGGAGACTTGTAGTCACAAAAGGCTACACCCTTCAACAACTACACTGCACTACTGGCTGCACCTGATTGGACAAACGCTTTCAAAACAGACCAACATGGTGGCTTGTTTGGAAATTCATTATTCCGAAAATAGTTTTCTCACTCATTTTAGATCGACAACAGTGAACTTAAAAGTTTTACATGAATTCCCAGAGGCAACAAGTCGTGGTGCTGGAACACCCTGAATATCATAAAGTAGCCTAGACCTCTGCTTTATGCAAATGAGGAGCAGCCAACGGGACGCAGGAGTATCAAATTCAATTTACTTGGGGCTACTGTTGGTAATCACATAGGGGGGCACTTCAACTTTAAGTACAACAAGAAAGCACAATATTCTAAAAATATTTCATTACATTTCATACAAAAAAAATGCAAACCGTTTCAATACATTATTATCATAATTTTATATCCTCTTTGTTCAAAAACAAATGAAGGCCCAAAACCTGCTCTCTTCTTATTAACCCTTTGCACGCATTTGCAGGAACATCTGACCTTTTCCATTATTTTGTGCCAAATTAAATATTAATATAATATAAAACTGGCTCAAGATAGTTTTGTGGCCACCGTAGATTCTCCTATAAGCTTGAAAGAGAGGGTGAGGTGAAGGGGTTGCAATTTGCAACTACGCCACTAGATAGACAGCCACTAAGACCTTTGCACTGGACTTTTAAAGCTGCAGTAGGTAGCTTTTCTAAAAATCACTTTGTGTCATATTTGCTGAAATTCTGACAGATATTCTGTGAAAAACATCATAGTTCTCCGGCTCGTTCTAGTGCTCCTAATGGCATTTGCGAAAGTTGTTAGGAACACTGTAGGAGGTCAGAAAAAACTTTTTTTTTTTCACAGATTATGTCTCATGTGTTGTGAAGTGATTTTTAAAAAAGTTACCTACTGCAGCTTTAATCATAACCTTAAAAACAATGACTTTGTCCCAGCTCTGGAAATCTATATGAGCAGTGTTTCTGACAGTTTTATTGTGAATGAGTGAGTGCACACCTTTTTTCTTTGCCATATCTCAGTTTTATCTTTATCTTTGAGGTGGGCTCTGTATTCACCACCAGTTTCATCATTTCCCTCAACTCGACCCGAACTCTCGTGTCAGCAAGAAACCGGGAGAGATTTAAAGACGGTGATAGAGGCTGTTTTGACATGAAAGAGCCAAGAAAGCCATCCAAAAGATAAACAGTCCAAAACATCCTCAGAGTTTGTCCTCAGTCCAAATCTATTCCTCATCCAAATCCACAGGCAAAGAAAGCACAAGCCTAACATAATCACAGAGCACTCGTATAAATTAGTAAGCACTCACCCAAACTGTTAAACTCTGGTTGACATCTGTGCACGGCGTTAAATGCTCTGCATATAGACAGAGAGGCTTTTCTCTTTCTGTGTGTGTTTACGCAGGGTGTTGGCATATGTACGTCTGTGTAAACAGACAAGACTGCTTCAATATATATTCCGTCAGGTCAGGAGGTTATAACCAAACTCACTTGTCAGCGGTGAAGGATTCTTTTTCCAGTGGTGTAAAATTGTGGCTGGCAAAAGTCGACAAAAGAAACTGATCTGTGAGCACTCGAGTAATGAAGTATCTCTCGCCACGGCTTTTGTGCGGACGCTCACAATGGCCCGTGTGATATGGATCCCTCTCAGACGGGCAAAGTGGCCACCTATTGTGAGAGGCGAGCATACAGGATCCGAGACGAGCCTCTCTCCTCAATGCGGCCAGAGTAATTATGATATAATTTTTCTTCAGGATTTCAGCAAGTCTTCTCACTTTACTCAAAGGGCCTGGAAGTGGCCTGGAGTTAGGTGGCGAAAGCTCTGATGCTGGAAGGTGTCAGGATTTCACAACAGGCTTCCAAAACCCCTGTCTGGGAATGTTTGTGCAGTTTTATACTCTGTGTTTTGCTACTTCATGTATTCTGATACAATAAAGGATCATTTTGAACAGTAATGACAACAGTGAGGTACAGAATATATAGTTTTTGATTGTAGCTGGTTTGAAACCAATAACCCCTTATTTTGACCCTTACTACAATCGTTTTTTAGCATAGCCTCAAGAGTATTCCACCATACATTCTAAATGGGCCTAAGACAAAGAAAAACCTTTTAATCCTGAACATTTATTGTGGCTGTTTGGAACATTACTAATAAGATAAGATCCACATGCATGTTTTCTTCAGTCATAACCAAGACACCACACACCTTCTTCAGCAGCAGTGAGTGGTGACTTTAACCTTTTCTGTTTATTTTAAGTTCAGCAGTCTGGTTGACACCTGTTTGACGTGTCTGTTCCTCAGAATGATGCAACTGGTGTAATTATAACAGACAGTAAGAAAACTAACCAGATCCATGCTCTGATGCAATCCGTATATTTAGTTTTATTATTTAAAGCATTGCATCAATAAAAACTTTTGGGAGCTTGCAAGTTTCTGTGTGCTGACAACTTTTCCTTTTCTCATTATTGCCTTTTTTATATACGGCATTTTTGTGATTTGAACAAATTGTTTGCCATAAAATGTTCAGTTGCTAATTTCACTTGTAATATTGATGTACATTGTAAAAATGTGCATTATATTAAAGAGTCCAATGTTTAAACTGGGATACATTATCTTACATGTTTTTCCTCTTTTAGTCATTTATTACTAATAACATTGTCTTTACTTGAAAATTGAAATATAAGGTTCAGCCCCCCTCCCCACCCCAATCATTTTTGTCCTTTTGTACTGAACAATATGTGTTGCAATAAGTCCCAATCTATTTCAGTTGTGTCAATACTGCATTGCGATGACATAAACAACTCGAGTTAGGTTATACCAACTACAAATACAGCAGTCACTTTGGGTGTTGTCCTTCATGCGCTGTTATCAGAGGCTCTAGCATGCAAACTGACATCATCAACACTTTCCCCTACAGATATCCAATATGATCTCACCCCTAAGTTCCCACAACTTGTTGACACCCGTATGAACTGATGGTCTCTGTTACTACAAGAGGACAAGCCGCCTGCAGCCAACAGGTTGTTCCTGCTGTTTACACAATAGGTCGTCTCTGAGATGGACTGATAGCAGAGACTCCACGTCTCCCCAGTCCCCAACCCAACCACTGTATGACCACATTTCTATGCATAAAACCGAGTCATGTACGGGTAAATAAAAAGAATCAGCCGCATCTTGGTCCCAGTAACCTCCCTGATGTAGGGGGGAGGGGGGAAATTGAGAGATGGCCAGTGTTTACCCAAAGCAGGCGGACTACAGTGCATATGATAGCCGGTCTCCGAGGTTACACGTCAACGAGGAACGCGAGAGCGCCAGTCTATTGATCCCATCCGCAGGGAGAGATAAGCTGTCGCCACTCATGAAGTCATTTCATAGGTTACATGCTGGGAGTGTGGGGCAAGAGCATGTGGACTGTACATACACGCTATTATGTTGACGCTAATAAAACAAGACCTTGATGTGAGTGGTAGCAGGTGGTGTACTCGGGAAATAGTTATATTATTCACACACAAGTTTAAGGATTAAGTCTGGTGATACGTCATATTTTTGTTTCCATATATTTATTGACAATAAATCCTGAGACCCAAAACGACAATGAATGTATCCTTCTAACAAGTATTGTGAATCTAATCCTGATATATCTTATTCCTCCATACCATAGAGCTCCATTGTTGTCCATAGATTATTAAACTCAATCTTACATGTTAATGTTAATGTACTGTTAATTTGCCACCTGATTTTGTAACTGATTTTAATTTAGTGTTTTGATGATTAAGTCTCACTCAGTTGTGATTTCCAAACACTGTCCATTTAAACGATAGGCATAAAAAAGATGGATGTCTCACGTCTCCCAAAAATGAAGGTAAAATTTATGGCCACTGCGGAGCCAGAGACTGCACAGTGGTGATCGGGGTTGGCACCATGGTATCAAGGTCCCGACTCAATCTGCTAACATAGAGCAGGCTTTATGACCTATACTGCAGTCAGCCACCAGGGGGCGATCAAGATGTTTTGGCTTCACTTTCGGAGAACTGTCATGTCGCCCGTCTTTATATCTGTAGATGGTTTGAACAGAGCTGCCCACTCACTGTCGTACTCATCGGCGGCTAACATCAATGCAGCAAACCTCCTGTAGCAAACAGCTGGAGGAAGATTTAGATGGCTGACAGTCGACAGGTTGACAGTACATTGTCCTGCAGCCACCCCAGTTGATATCTTTAAACACAAAAGATAGCATGCTGAAAGAAACATTAGTATTACCTCCACTGTATTACTGTACTTATTGTAGTATTACTAGCCACTGATTATGCTATGTTAGCATAACTTTTCAGAAATATCAGCGTGCTGGCCTGCATGCTTGCGTAGTTTGTACCATCTAGCGTTT